CATGATTGCCAATGGAGTCATAACTAAATTCAGGATTATGCAGAACCACAGATATCATTCAGCTCTATCTAATTGTGTTGACTGACTAAACAACAATGAAAACATCTGGAAGCAGCCTGTGGCCAATTTACACAATAGTTTTCCCAAAACTCTAATGTTTATTTCAACTGCACACAATTGGTATGCCTTGCTCAATAGTGACATTGATTCCGTACAGTAGCCAAAGTAGATACAGTATTTGATATTCTTTTCAAAAATCAACAGGCAGCATGGGGTAAACTGTAACTTAGTTGCACAAGTTGACCCTCCACGAGTTTAATCGTTGACAGAAAGACTGACCAAGCAACAGTACAGCAGTCAGGAAATACAACAGGAACAAAAAAAAAATGCTTTTGAAAGTCTTGAGGAATTTGTATTGGTCAATTCATAGTGAGATGCTTATAATCCAGATATGGAAGAGTGAGCAAGTGGATGAGAGTGTGTGTACATGCATGTGTGTGCGCGCATTGCCTGTCCCAAGGCATTATCATAAGGAATCATTTGGAATTCTTAATGTAATCCTAACGCTACCACAAAATTACTTTCTAAACTTCAAGAATTGTAACATATAATTTTGATAAATTTCTAGTTAAAATGAAAAATGTACACATTTAAAAAAGGGAGAACAGTTAAGTACAATAAGGCTGATAATGTGGTCCCAACTTTATTTCGCATGTATTAAACTGCAATCATTGACATAATCCTGGATCACCTACTGCCATATCAAACATTTAATTCTAACATTTACTTTTTTTTTTAGAAAATGGACAAAAACAGCCAATAAAATGTCTGTATAAGTAGTCAGTAACAGTCTGGTCAGAGATCTTAAAATGTCACATCTGACAAGGTGTTGAGGTAGCTTCAAAGGGATGAATTTAAAATGGAGAAATACTCTAAAACCTGAATTGTAAATCTCCTGGCAATTATTCCAGACTGTGAGCATTATGAAAAGCAGCAGTCTGGGCAAGAGACATATTTTGTGCTTTCCCCTTTTCAAGAATACAAATGAATAGAGGTTAAAAGCCAATGCAACTCTGGTCTGTGCACACTAGTCGAAAAAGAGGTTCTACAGAGCTAAGGTGTTCATATATACTAGCCTGGGTTTCCATGTCGGTGTGCTGGGAGGGTCACAGTCAAAGATCCATTTCTAGTCACCCCTGCATTGTAGGTAAATGGTTCCCTTAGTCAGTGACTGGCAAGCTGGCTTCTGGCAAAGTGACAAAGGATAATCAGAGGGTTCTTCCACTCTGACTGATGCAAACCAACGAATCAACCACTGCAAAAAGGAAGCAGGACAAAAAAGGATTCCATCTCATCTACAATGCCAAGAATCTTGAAATCAAAATACACCCCACTTGCCTGGATGAGAACAGTTGCAACAGTCAAGAAGCTCAACGCTATCCAGGACAAAGCAGCCTGCTTGATCAGCACTAGATCCACACTCTCTCTCTCCACCACCAATACTCAGGAGTAGCAGCTTGTACTATCAAAAGATATACTGCAGAAATTCACCAAAGTTCCTTAGCACCATCCAAACCCATGACCATTATCATCTTAGACAAGAGCAAAGATATGGGAAAACCATCGCCTCAAAGTCCTGAAAACTCCTTCCCTAACAGCATTGTGCATCTACCTAAACCAAATGGATAGCAGCAGTTCAAGGTGGCAGCTTATCAGCTTCTCAGGGGCAACCAGGGACTGGCAATAATGCTGGCCAAGGCAGAAATGTCCACATCCCATGAATGAATTTTAAAAATAAACTGCTCAATTATCAATATTCCATTATTTACAGCCTGATCTGTACACCTTTATTTGGATAAACTGCTCATTCCCCATGTGTTATTACTTCTCACTTTTAATGCCATAAGAAATAGGAGCAGGAGTAGGCCATTCAACCCATCAAGCATGCTCCACCATGCAATAGGATCATGGCTGATCTGACATTCCTCATGTTCACTTGCTTGCCCTTTTCCTATAACCCTCGACTCCCTGACTGATCAAGGATCTATCTCAGCCTTAAATATACACAGGAACTCTGGCCATTCCAGTTGTGTCAACGAGTTCTAAAGACTCAACCCTCTGATAAAATTCCTCCTCATCTGTCTGAAATTGACAACCCCTTATTCTGACACACTGCCCCATAGGTCCTAGACTCTCCCATGCGGGGAAACATCCTCTCAGCATTTGCACTGTCTAACCCCTTAAGGATCCTATATGTTTCAATGAGATCCCTTCTCATTCTTCTAAACCTCAGTAACTAAAACTCACTGTTGTTAACTCAAGTAATCAGAGTTAAACAAGTACCTTTTAAAAAAGGTAAAATTAATTTGATAATGGCAGAAAAGATATCCACTAGGATGGCAAAGCTGCTGTAAATTAACTTAAGTTTGAAAATTTGTAGCTCGGGTTGTGGATGAGGTAGTAGACACGCTCGCTGAGCCGGTGTGTTTGGTCACAAACGTTTGTCACCCTGCTAGGTAACATCATCAGTTACACCATCTGGTGAAGCGTTGGTGTTCTGTCGTGCTTGTTATTTACATGCCTTTGTTTGCTGGGGGTGGTTGGTACCACTTGCAGTTCCGTTTCTCAGTGGTTTGTACACCGGGTGTAATTCAATGTGTGGTTGGAGTTCTGGTTAGACCCACTAGACCTCCAGGAACTCCCTAGCGGGTCTCTGTTTGGCCATTTTGTGCTCCCAAAGTGCCATAATAGAATGATAACCAGTACTGAGGTTCCATTCAAAAGAGAACTCCAGATAACTGGTATAACAAGGTGTAGAGGTGGATGAACACAGCAGGCCAAGCAGCATCAGAGGAGCAGGAAGGCTGACGTTTCAGGCCTAGACCCTTCTTCAGAAA